GCTAGCGACACAGCTATGTTAGCATAGCATAAACACACTGAAGCTGGAGGATGAACGCCAACTTTTTTTCCACTCGATAAAAGTTAACGTGAGGGATTCTGGTGGTCAGGGACAAATGCAATCGCATAGCAGGATGCTGTACACGGGCCAAACTTCAGTCAGGAGAACAACTGAGATTATTCATCCACAATACGAGATTAGTTATTAATATACTGCAACAACATGGGAACAGAGCAGCTGTGAGAGGATTCAACATTAATGAATTAATGTTACAGAAGTGGAGGAAGCGCAGTTTTTGGCTTTCCCCATATTTCAACAGTGCTTCAAGTCTTTGCTGTGACTGTTGCCATATTTTGCAGATGATAATGGTTGTAGCCGCTGCGATGCTTTCGACCAAAACAGGCGCAGCTTGATGACATCATCAACATGCGCTTTTGGGATAGAGCGATATAGTCAAAATCTCTATCGTTGGCCAAATTTATATGGTTTCTATCGCCCACTCCTACCTCTGACCTTTACTGAGATTCAAACTCGCCTATGGTACCAATTTCTAAATCCTTCTCAGGTTATCAGACTCACACCCCAGCAGCCTTTTACAGTGAGACATGAAGTAAGGCTTGGTGAGTTTTCATGTATGTGGAGGAAAAAAAAAAAAATAAAATCTGATTTCACACAAACTCTTCAACTTGTCTGACATCATCATCGTTTACATGCTGCCCGCTGATCTGACATCAGTTTTTCGATTTGTCCTCTGTAAAAACAAACCTGACCCGCAGCTTTCTATCAAATAAATCTGAGGCCCCTCTCACCCTGATGGACGTCTCTCCTCCGTGCGGCTGCTGCAGGCGGAAGACTTGCGCCACCATGTGGTCAGTGGTGGGATGCAGCAGGATCCTGCGGGAGGCCAGGCCCACCATCACGTAACAGCCCATCGGAGACAAGCTGACGGAGATGGCGTTTGGACCTGAGGGAGAAAACACCGCTGTCATCGTCACCATCCTACAAACCTGGACGTGCGACAGAGAGAGCCGCCGTCTCTGTGAGGACGTACCGAATCGCTTGGTGTACAGCATCTCTCCCAGGTTGTGGGGGGCGAGTGAGTAGATGGCCAGGATGCCCTCATCTGGGAAACCGCGCTGGCTGCTGGGAATGAAAACCGCCAGCAGCTGCCCGTCCGCAGAGATGTCACAGCTGGCGTCGTTGTAGATTTTACAGTTTGGCACCAGAACGTTGACTGAGGCTGTGGGGGGGCAGAGAGAGGGAGTCTGTGAGGCGTTCAGACAAACAGACTCAGAGCGGCTTGTTTGTTAAACCCCGGCAGAGTGGGTGACCTTTAACCCCTCCCAACCGGACTGAGCAGGAACTGAAACGATGTCTGAACAGAAACTTGAACTAAAGCGGAGGACTCAAACCCTCGGCCTCGCGCTGTCGTACCATTGCTGATCTCAGGAAGGTCAAACTTGGTGAAGTCCCACCACTGCAGGCGGTACGTGGTGTTGGCGATGTTGCTGGCGACCGCAGACTGACCGTCCCCGATCGACGCCCCTGTGGAGGACAGGAAACTGCGTCACTGGGCACGCTCGGTAACCCACATCTCCATTTGAAGAAAAAAAAAAACCAACAAAAAACAACTTTGTGGTCACCGTGTCCTGATGGAGGTCGGATATGAGCCGCCTTCTTTTTAAATAAAGGTGTGCGTGTGCGCATACCTGCGAGCACCCTGTTGACAGAGGAGTGTGTGGCGAGCCCGGGCTGCCCTCGCTCGTGGAAGATGCCGGCGTAGGGCAGGTACTCGGGCAGGAGGAATCGGCTGCAGGATGACAAACAGGGATGAGATGAGAACCAAAGCGGCGAGCGCGAGTTTACCAGGTTCAGCGGCGGGTTCGGAGCCAACTCACCGAGGGACGAAGCGGCCCAGCGAGGGCGCAGACATCCTGGCGTTTCGAGGCGTCCGGTGTCGCGTTCTGTCACTGTTGTCGCTGCAGAAACAAAGAGAAGGACTGAACAACCGCGACTCAACCAGCGTTCGGACGCATCAAAACTCGTTACTGCGGTGATGTCATTCATCGCTGCAATCACATGATCTGAGCCCGCCGGCATCGCCAGTTTCCCGTCTTGGTTTTGATTAAACAAAATTAAATTAAATTCAGCCTCTTCTGAAAACAACTGAATTTAGCTGTGGCCAATAAGACGGCAGCTGAGACGCGCTGCACGCAAACATGCCTACAGCGCAGTGAAAAGAGCCCCGCCCACCACGGGAGAAGCTGGGACGGAAACACGAGGACTCGAGTCAACAACATCAGGGCTGCACGCTGCGTTTCTACAGGACAGCTCAGAGCGGGGCACAAACGCCGTCTGGACCCGCCTACCTGACGGCACGTGACAATAATTTACGAGCTCACGTCTGGTTTCAGCGATTTTAAACATCTGAGGAAAATTCCTGAACGGACTCCAGAACAGCGCTTTGTCCCGATTCATTTTCTAATCTTCGATGATGGACTGCCGTGTGCCGTTACAGTTTTAACCACTCCTCCTAACGCACGCTCAATAATCCACCAGAGCCAAGGGCCAGGGCCCGTGGCCACGCCTTAATGATGATGTCACATCCTGGACAGGGAGGAACGATGGTTTGAGTGAAAAGGGAAAGATCATCTCTGAATGGAGGAGGGGCCTAAGGGTACATCTGTCGCCATCTTACCAAGCTGTGATTGCAGCCATTCCCCAGCTCTCTGTGACCGGGACTGATGGTTATTGATCAGTGATCATAAACTGACCTCACAGCCTGTTGTTAGTTTCAGTCATTGTGCAAATAAGGCTGAAACCTGCAGTCACCTGGACCAGTGATGAAATGTTTCTCCCACTGAAAACGTCCCAGTGAACAGAATAAACTTCTGATTCGTTTTACTCGAAACGAGCCAACCTAACGAGCGGCTGCGCTGACAGGATGAGACCGGCCCAGGTCACAGTGTGCTGTGTGAGCCATGAGAGGAAGGCGACTGAAACTTACTCGAGATCCTCAAAGTCCACGTCGCCACTGTCCATGGAGCCGGGCGGGTTGCTGGCCGGGCTGTCCGACGAGGAGGACGACATGGCCCGCAGCCGGTTCTGCTGGTAGCGGAGCGAGCGCTGGCGGATGCTGTCGCGCCTCGACAGATACTGGATCATCCTCTGAGCGTAGTAAGCTGCTGGAGAAAGCCTGCACAGCAGAGGGCAAAAACTCTTTATCAGCAAGCGTCTGCAGAAACCTCTCAAACTCTGACCTCGACAGAGGCAAACCCAGCGACCTCGGCTTTGTCCATCATTTACCCAGAAACACAAGCGTGTGCAGCAGCTCACATTTAACCCCTGCTGCAGCGTTCAGGTCTTATTCCACTGGTGGGCGTTCACATTTTTTTTTGACACCAAATTTTATTGATAGTTTTGTCACAGTTTAAACATAGACATGTATTGTATTACAGGAGAAATAACCATGCAAGCACACAGTGAAAACAAACAGAACTAAAGCGAACAAAAGCTGTGGGCGCCAATTCCAATCAACTACCGCATGCCTGCCTTTACTCTGCAGCATACATACTCCAGCTTATATACGGGCATGCATCAATAGATATACAGAGTTATCGACCTTAGATGTTTTGTTCGTTCATTAATTTTCCTTGGTGCCATATAATGTCCACTTCTGCACAGATTTCTCCAACAATATTTAACCAGTCTTTTGATGAAGGCGGATCCAGTTTGTACCAGTTTCTTGTTATAGCTTTCTTTGCAGCTATCAATAGGATTTTTGTCAAATGCAAGTCGTCGTACAGAACATACTCTCTAATATTCCCAAGATATACAGTTTTAAAATTGTGTGGTAATTGATAGCCCAAGATATTGCCTATTACAAGAGTCACGTTCTTCCAAAAATGATGCAGTTTCAGGCACTCCCAAAACACGTGCGTATGGCGTGCTTCCATGTTACCACATCTTCTCCAGCATGGCAAACTGTCTTGAGTCTGTTTACTTTTGATTTTTGGTGTAATAAAGAATCGAGTAAGGTGTTTCCACCCAAATTCTCTCCAGCATCTTGAGTTAGTGGTTGTGTTCTGGGTGTCACACATATCTAACCATTCCTCAGTTGAGATATCAGTTTTTATTTCCTGCTCCCGTTTCTTTTTTATGTATTCAGTTGATGTTGCCGTGTTCTCTCTTAGATTTTTATATAGTACAGAAATCTCCTTGAATTGGAGGCCCCTGTATGATTTAATTATACAATTCAGGATGCCATAAGATGTACGCGAACTTCGTATTTCCTTTGAAAAGTAGTCTGAGTTGCAGGTTTTCTCTAGACTATACCGATCTTTTAAATCTTGGAAACTCATCAAATGGCCATCTTTCATTACTGTACAAATCGCTGTTATTCCTTTTTGCTCCCACTTCCTGAATCCGGCGTTCACATTTTTAAGAACTAGTTTAATGAGCTCAATGCGTGTCAGCAGCTTTTTCTACGTTTAGATCTGTGTGATGTCACAGAGAGCAGACACCTCTAACGTGGTCCAGTGTGAGATAGAGGAGGATTATTCTGAACTGCGACTCATGCCAACCTGGCCTGGGAGAGTTTAATCAAAGCCCATATTGAACCTAGACTCGAGGTACACGGCGGTGCTTCTGTACCTGGCTGGGTCGGGGTAGATGGGGTGGTCTCTGGAGCCGGACATGTCGTAGCGAGACAGTGACAGGAGAGAGGATTCCAGCAGCCGCCTGGGCGAGAAACAGAGGCACACAGAGCGCGCTCAGTGTTCGAGACACAGATGGTAGCTGATTATAAGCACTGCTTTCATGCTCAGCTGACTGTGTGATATCAAGCAGACAGACTCCAAAGTCACCCTCACAGTGCTGCCTTAAACCTGCATTCTTCCTAAAGCCCAGCAGGGGGCTGAGCTCAGCTCAGCAAACACTCTCCTGGTGAGTTCACGAGTAAAACAAGAGGCTGTTTAGGAGCTACGGTCCGATGGAAGGACCAGAATCTGACCTCATAAAGCTGCGATGGTGAAAAGAAAAGGTGACGTACCTCCTGAGGGAGTCCTCGTCTGGTGGGTCGACGGGCATTTCTTGGCTTAAGGCCTCCGGTGGCTCCGCCGGCCGGCCTGACGCAGCCTGCCGGTACACCCTCTCCCACTGCGCCGTGTCCTGGTTGTACACCAGGCCCACCGTCTGCTCCCCGGGCTGGGTAGAGGACGGGGCAATGGGGAAGGCCACTCCTGTTCCTCCCACTGTTGCTGCTGGGGGAGGCGGCTGCTCACTGGACTCAGGAGGCGCCCTCCTCTCCTGTGTTTGGACTTCTAGCATCCTTCTGGCCTCATCGGGCTGCCAGTGAGAGGAAGGAGAGGGAAAAGAAGCAGAGGAGGAAGAGGGAGGCTCCAGCATGGAGGTGGAGGCGGAGGAGGTCTTGCGCTCCCAGCGCTGGGAGTCGTGGTTGAAGGTGAGCAGGTTGTGGCAGGCCCGGCAGCGGTTCAGGTGACCACGGGAGGCGGGGGGAGGGACGTTGTTCTCCAGGCTGTGGGAGCTGGGGGGCGGGGGGAGGGGAGGCTGGTAGTGGATGATGGTGGGGGTGGAGGAGGATGAGGAAGGCCCGGGCCGGTCCGGGTCCATGTTGTTGTTGAGCAGTTCCTGACTCTGCTCCTGGCCTCCGTCGGCCATGGCGCCGCCCAGCGCCGGCTCCATGTCGATGGGGCCGATCTCCAGGAAGTAGCGGCTCAGGTTGCACTGCAGCACGTTGCGGAAGGAGGCCGTGTTACCACGGGCACTGTCCCAGAACGGGTGATGCCCGCTGCTCGTGCTGGCGGTATCCCGGGCTCCGGGCTCTCCCTGCTGGGGGAAACCCCGCCCCTCGGTGGCGGAGGTGTAGACGGGGGAGTGAGAGGAGCCCTCCTGCTGGCGGAGCACAGACAGAAGGCTGATGGAGGAGGAGGCGGAGGTTCTGGGAGGCAGCATGCCAGGATTTATCCCCCCCTCCCTCACACTCAGCAGGTTGCGAGTCCAGTCGGGTGCCGGTCTGGGCGTGGAGTGCGGCTCGTGGCCGCCCGGAGGGGCGGGGTTAAGAGAAGCGCCGGCGCTGTAGTAGACAGAGGTAAAGGCGGAGGTTCGCTCCGAGGGCTGTCTGGGCTCAGTACGAGCTGAGGAGAAGGTGGAGGCCGGGGGAGGCTGGAGTGAGTCCGATGATGCCCGTGGATCGGGCGGAGGCACAGAGGCTCCGTCTGGCTGGGGCGCCGTTCGACTGATGGAGCAGCGACTGCACATGCACACCATGCCCAGGTGCTGGGTGCAGCCGGGCAGGGGCGGACCGCGCTCCGAGCTGGGGTACTGGGCCAAAGGGATGCTGGGAGACTCGGCCATGTTACTTCCATTTTCCCCGAGAGGCCGCGGCTGCTCGCCTCCGGCCTGAGCCCCAGGGGAGCGGGACGACAGGATGTGGAGGAAGTTGTGGAGGATGGGCGTGCGGCGAACCGGCTGGGAAGGCAGGAAGGAGCGCTGACGGAAGTGAGGCATCTCAACGCTGTCCATGGGAACCTCCGAGTCCTCCTCGCCCTAAAGGAGGCAAAGAAGAAGAAAACACCTGATCACTGAAGGCAGGTTAAACGGCAGAGACAGGACGACCTCTTCTACTTGTCACCCAAAACCTGCCATGGTGATGTCATCCTCATCTGCAGTCACCTCCCAGAAAAATCAACCAATCGTAACACAGACACAGGAAAACTGTAACGACCAAACCGAGGATCCACACAGGAGCGAGGGGGCAGGTCCACCTGACTCGGTGCTAGCTGTGCCTCAGACCTCTCAGTGCTCGGCACGCCCTCAGCTCCATGACATAATACAGCGTGATGTTCTTTTACATGCATTACTCGCTCTCTTGGTGAGCTGTGCAGCTGAGGTTGTAGGTGAACCATGACGGTCATCCTCTGAAACATGACGCTACCTCGCTAAGAAATGGCTTCAGATCATCTTCGTACCTGCTGATTGGATGGATTCACGATCGCCGTGAGCAGGTTGTGACCGAGAGGGTCGAAGCGCACCAACCTGACAGACACAGAGAAGAAGTCGATGAAAACACCTGGCTCCAGCGATATGTTAATAAAAACGTAACAGCAGCACGCTCCGTTATTACTGTCACGTCATGCACACGCTCAGACTCGACCTCTGACCAGCGGCCGTGTTTAACCCACCGCACTCTCTCCGTGTCGCTGCCCGTTTTCACCACAGCGAAGGGCTCGGGGCGGCTCCAGTCCCAGAAGTGGAGCTCATTGTTGGTGGCGATCAGGAGCAGCTGAGCAGTTGGGTGGAAGGCCAGGGAGGCGATGGCGACGTTGCTCTCGGTAAACCAGCTCTCACTCCCGCCCTGCAGAACACAGTTACTCAGTTACGTCTGATGTAGAGCAGCGCGATACGACCAAAAAGATTTATCACCATATACATTTGAAAATCTGCGATAACGATATAACTGACACGAGACAAAATGCTTTACAACTCCACAACTTTATTAGTGCAAAAAAACCAAAAAAACAAATCAATGCATCTTCACTTAAACAAGCAGCTGTTTGTTATCTAAAAATGTAACAGAGCAAATTCCTCGCTGACAGTTTAACCAAAAGACATTTCCAGTGGAAACTGGCCGACATATCCTCAGCATAACCATGTATAATATCCACAAAACTTAAAAAGAGGTTATACACACACAATACGGTAACATTATGTTGAAGCACAGTACGTATCACTCCGCGAGGCTCCGCCTACGATAGCCGTAATGCTCCGACAATCCATCAAGCGGTGCGGCTTCGTAGCTCAGCAAAGTCGTACTGAAACATCTGACAGATTTTCGAGCGCCGTGCACATAAAATCGTTTCGAGGTCAGTAAACACAACCAGAGTTCATACATAAGGCACACGGGATTATAAGGGGCTCTGTCGACTTTCAGAAAAATCAAAGGATTGATTTTAAGTGTGCCGTATTTTCCAAACAACACGGTAATAACGACGGCCCGCTAGCATGCGCTACCAAAAATAGTGCTTTGTTGTGTATCTGACGGACGAAAGCTAAACCAGTTCCACACCAGTGACGCTGCAGCATTTTTACAAACCAGTTCAGGTTCATCGTTTCATTCAACGATCCACTTTCGCTCTCCTCATTCTCCATCGCCGCCATGTGCGTATGAAAACAAAGGCACTGTGCATGCACGTTTTACCCATATTTCATTTTCCTATCGTTGCCCAACATTACACCGGTATTACCGTGACATGATATGGCCCAGCCCTAGTCTGATGTCCCGCTGCGAGAGCGAGAACACTCCAGAGTGCAGCTCGACAGAAACACCGACTCCATGTCCTCATCGACAGGCTGACATGAAAGCATTTAGGGGGGGGGGGGGTACTCACATGCAGGTCCCAGATCCGGACTTCGCCATCAAGGCACCCAGAGGCCACCAGGCCAGGAATTGTGGGGTGAAAGGTCACACACCAGGGGGTTCTACGGTGGCCCACTAAGGAATGTAGGCACTTTCCAGTCTTCACCTCTGTTATGTAAATGTTGTGGTTGACGTGGGTCGAAGCCATGAGGGTCCTGCAGACACAACGTTTCCTCTGAAAGGCCCAGCTGAGACTCCACCTACTCCACCTCAAACTCAACTATATACACTTTAGCTCATTTGTGTCTTTTTGGTAAAGTATCCTGATTAAATACCACTACATCGATAATACTCTGGAAAAAAGATCCAGTACTGATGGAGTCTCCGCCTCCACCTGTGCTCTGACTTCACTCACCTGTCAGGGCTGAAGGCCAGCAGGAAAGTTGAGCGAGGGCTGTCCGGCAGCTCCACCTTCTGTTGGAGACACAAACATTCACAGTCAGTGGGAAGCGCTCACAAGCACACACTCAAACACATCAGCAACGCTGCCTGCTACGAACAATCCGACCGCTCCCCACCAACGCCCTCCTGAGCCCTGCGGGCTGGAACTGGACGATTTTGTTTTCAGTTCCTCCCCACAACGCTCTGACCCCCACAGCTCTCACTTCTCTAATGTGCAGCAGAAGCGCCTCAGACGGGCGTATTTGTCCCACTGTGGCCAAAGCTGGTAGGCAGGCGTATCCTGGTGTTAAACGGCCTCCATCACATACATCCCAGCAGCTGCTGGGAAAACTCAAGGAAAAACAAAGTTGATAAAAACTGATTCGGACACATTTTTAACGCCGATTCTTATCTGAAAAGCACTGATGAGTGCGTCACCGCACAAACAGGAGGAAGGCACAGAGCCATCAGAAAGCCTGAGCAATAAAAGCTAAATTATTAGCATGTCATTTGGGAGTAGGCTGTAGGGGGCGCTGTCTGAAAACGGTTTGGTTCTTAGAGGAAAGAAGAAGCTGAAACTTGCCTGACTCTGCCATTTCATCCAGCGGACTTTCTCCTCCACCAGGAGCTGCAGGAGGCGCTGCGAGCCAAAGATCTGCGAGCCGCGCTCCCGGCTGGACAGGATCCGGACCGAGTTCCTCTGACGAGACGCCATGATGCTACCGGTGTCCTCGGCTGATTGGCTGCTCACTCCCGCTGCTGCCAATCCGACGCCATGCAGAGTCTGGGCTGAGAAAAACAACCTGAAATAAATCGAGCTGAAAGAAACGGTTACTATGACGCTGCGGCGCGAAGTTGAGGCCAGGAGAGCGAGGGGGCGGGCTTTGGGCAGGAATGTCTGCACCATGAATTTCTGATTTTGTGTCAGAATGAAAATAATCATCAGCTGCTGTGTTAGTGTGAAGTCAGCTGGACTCTTTCATCAGTGATGGTTTCATTTCCACACTTTTTCCATCAAATTCACCAAAATTATGAAAACAAGTTTTTAATAATTTGGCCTTAAAGGTTTATTTACTCAAAAACAGAAGTGAGCCAGTCACACACAAACCCAGATTTATCAGCTGACTGATCTCAATCCATCACTCGGCGTATTAAAACTATATTAAACTGATAAGAAGAGCAGCGACGATGGCTGAAGGTCGCACCATTAAATGGCCTTCATCAGCCGAGCTTCAGTAAAGATCAGTTTACCGTCAGAACACATCAGAATCGTCTCTCAGCAGCTGGGAAGGTTTCACTGGTTTCACTGGTCGCCTGCAGCTGGAACAGATGCTGCAAACACATTTACTGACGATGCTGAAGCTGAGCTTCCATTTAAAACTTAGACCCAAATGGCGTGTGCAGCTGCAGGACGAGGGAACGCCGTCAGCGTCACCAACCGGTGGAGATCATTTAAATCTAACCATGTGTGATTTTCAGCACAGTAAGAAAACACTCGGATTTCATGGCGTCACACGCTCCACGGCGCCACCTACAAAATTATGACGTAAAGTCTTAGACCACACTACTGAAAAGAGGAACGTGCCGAGCCCGGACAGGAAGCTGGAGACATCCTGCAGAGACTTTTGCTGCTTCCTCACCCCCACCTTTGAACCTTTCCTTTCACTGTTGCTGCTATCCTTCTGTCACACATCTCCACCCACACTCTCTTTGGATGGTCGACCAAACTTAAACCCTCATTACCTCGGCTCCTTCCACCACCTTCAGAGCATACCTCCACCTGCTCCTCCTGTCAGCCTGTCCAGCACCACTGCAAACAGGAAGAAGCTCAGAGCAGATCCCTGACGTAATCCCACCCCCACCTTCGACACATCTGTCTCTCTGAGCGCACACCTCACCACTGCCTCTGTCCTCACACATGCCCCGCCCTCAGATGCGTCCTCGTGCAGCACCACAGTGACCTTCTCTAAACTTTCCATCAACACTCAAAGCAAACATCACGTCTGTAGAGCATGAAGCCACACTGCTGCTCACGGATCATCAGCTCTCTTCTTGCCCAGCTTCAACATCTCTTCCTCACATCTTCATCCCTCTGCAGTTACTACAGCTCAGCCTGTTCTTCAGGACCAGCACACGTCTTGCATGTTAAACAGCCTGCCCTCTCTCCTGGATATCTCCACACCTGCACAGGTATGTCATTAGGACCAACCACCTTTCCCCTCCTCCTCACTAGTCCTCTGCACTTCCTGGTTCACTAACTAGCTTTCATCCATTCCAAGTACCACTTCCATCGTTGCGGTACAGTCTTTTCAGTCATTAGTAGTCTGCATCTCTGTCCATAATTACTCCAACCTGCTGCGCATCCTTTCCATCTCCATCCTCTGTGCCCAGCCAATCAATACCAGTCCGTGTCTCCATCCTCAGTGTCTAGCCTCTCATACAGCTCACTGTAAGTCTTTCCTGGCCTCCCAGTACCCCCGTCTTTTTTCATCCCACTTTTTATGTACCAGCCACTTGATCTAAATATTATCCTGTTACCACAGATACTGCTGGCGCAGTAATTATCACAGTATTTGTACTCTGAGACACACAACACTTCACAGTTTCAGTTCTGAGGGAGTCTGTCTCTGTGTGTCACTGTGCTCCTCTCATGAAGAGTTATGTGCAGACTGATACCAGCTGTTCTCAGTCTCTACAAACATCTGCTTTGGAACAAACAGCTGTTTTTGTTTTTTACATGAGCTTAGTCAGGCTGTTTGTTTCGTCTGTACAGGGTCTGAGACCCACAGACCCGGTGATTTAACGTCATCACTTTGCAATTTGCCAGGTGAGGCTGTTCTGGTTCCTCAGGTGACCCTAACCCAGAGCTGAGGCGCGTGAACCTGAAATAAAGAGGTTCGGAGGCAGAAACGTCATCACCGTGAACACACCTGTCACAGTCCGAGTCAAATGATAAAAATTCAGAAATGTTTCAGCTTCACACAGCTGACTGTGAGCCTGAGGGCCTCCAGCCGGCACAAAGCCTCACACCCCCGCTCTGCTCACGGAACCAGAGCCGCGGTGAAGCGAGCAGAACCTAAGAGTGGACCTCAGCTGATCGGAACCGTCCGAGGAGCCCCTTCAGCGACTACATGTAGCTCCCAGGCAGCGTCGTGCCGAACCGAGCCCACAGATCCAACACTTTCACCCGCCCGGAGTCCATTCAGAGAGCAAACAGGGCGTGAATGAGAGGCTGCTGCTGTGAGCCGGGCCTACCTTCTTTTATGGATCCATTGCGGCGCTAAGAGCTACTGAACAGCTAGCTCTGCTAGCTCGGCCAAAACGGAGACCGTGACCAACGAGCGCCGGTACGCTAAGATCCTCCGCTTTATCCCGATCTTCTACCGAGCACCGACCGCTGGCCTCAACGGGCAGCGCTCGTATTACAAGACGGGGGCGAACAGAGAAGCTTTTCTAAGGCATTGGTCCGATTTTAAAGAGGCTGCCCGACGTCAAACTGCTACTGCGTAACCTGCTAGCTGTTCGCTAGCCACATACTCAGACCTACCAACAGAGCCCAGATACAAAATCGTCGATCACGAAAGAGTCTGCTCACCTGCGCCAGGGCTTTAATAGCGCTGCCCGGAAACGAAGCCATCAAAGAAACTGTTTTCAAGAAAGGCGGTTTCACGCTTTATTGTGAGGGTAATTCAAGCACTGGAGTCCTATCATATATTGTTGGGCAGCAGGAAGCAGCTCTGACATCGATTAGAAAGCCTGGAAACAGTTGCTTTTATTAAAGAGATCAGAAATGTTTATTTATTTGTTTTTATTTGGACAGTTCATACACATAAACATCATTAACACGATAACCTGCCACAGATGGATCAGACACAGTAATTATTAAAATCTAAAATAAGTAAAATAACAAAGAAGATTAGATTTTATTATTAAATAAAGATGTGCCATACGCAAGTATTTTTGTGAAAAAGTCCAAATTTAGGTTTAGTATCCTAACATTTCAAATTAAGTCAAACTTTTCATAAAAATCACTCAGAGAAAAGTTTTTAAAAATAGCTTTTTTTTGTTGACTTTGTTTACTCGTGGATGGCACCTTTTTTTTTTCAAGTAGTAGAAACAAGCTTCCATACAAACCCAATAGGTCCATAAACATTACTGGGATATTTCTCTAACCTGTGCAGGGAAAAGTCTCACTGAGAGACCAGGACTCTTTTTTTTCCAAGAGGGCAGCAGAAGTTACAACAAATACAAATGCAACACAAATTGTCTTTATTCCACTTTGAAAGGAAGTTCCCAGGGCCAGTTTCTGATAAAGAAGGATTATTTTGAGCTGTAAATCATGCGAAGCTGTTCTCACAATAGGTCACTTTCAACCAAGCCCCATACTCTGTACGTCACACCCCCAAAAAGGAGGCAGGTCCAACAAAATGTGAACACATAAAATGATTAATGTCTCCACAACATCAGCGATACACACACACACACACACACACACACACACACACACACACACACACAGCTGCAGGTGTGTGCTGACGGCCCGTGACCTCCTCAGAAGTTCTCCTTGTAGAAGTTGAAGCCGAAGTGTTCACACTGAGCTTTGATGACTTTGGCCAGAGCGGGAGCGCCGCAGTAAAACACATGTACCTTCCCTTTGTTCTCCTCAGACACCTTCTGAAACACCTGAAACACACACACAGAGTATTTTATTAGGAGCTGATACTGCAAAACACACCGACGCTCCTCGATTGATAAAACTAAACCGCTATTGGAGAACCATCATGTCTCGGTCTCCCCTCTACTTCAATAAAATAAACTCCAGAAGAAGTAGTTTCCTTTCCAGGAACTAACATCCAGGACCTTAAATGTTTTAAATGGCCATCCATGGCAGCCTGAAACCTCAGAGATAGGTTCATTGCTAAATTTTTCAGTCTTTACAAAATTTTAAGGAGAACTTTCCGAATTTGTGATGAACTCATGTGTGGTGACTCCTGACAGAGTCTGGTGCGAATGTCTCCCCGAGAAGCAGATGTCCATGGACGCTGTTTTCTGTTTGTAGCCTTTATTTAAAGCCAAAACATTTTCGCCGTGTTGAGCCTGTCTGATTTAGCCCAACGTTACTTTATCAGGTCCAGGATCACATGTCACCCAAAGAGGACACTCTACCAAAACCTTCCAACACTATTCAGGAAGGGTCCCAAACTCTCCTTGAAAAATACCAATAACAGAAAAGAAGAAGACCAAGTTAAACCAACGCAACGCCTCACCTTCCCCCACTCGGGTCGGCCCGGTTGGGTTCTGGTCCTCAGTCCAGTGATGGAGTCTCTCTTCTCCTTCTTGGCCAGAAGGTCGAGCGCCATCTGCAGGCCAATGGCCTTCATGTCGTTCTTGCTGAGCGCTGACGTCATGTACATGTGCATCTCCAGGAAGCGTCCTAACAAACATCAGCTTTGTGTTAACGAGCGCACGGCAGCGTCTCTGCAGGACTTTAAACACCACGTGGAAGGAAATAACTCAATAATCAAAACTATTATTAGTGTCTTCAAAGTCTGTCTACATTTCCAGACGTTGTCCTGAATCTGCTGCTTTGTGTCTCTAATGACATCATCATTTCCAAAATGAATTCATTTTATTTCTTAAGACCTGAAACCAGCGGCTGAGACCATAAACTCATCAGGAAAGTGTTTACTGAGCTCAGAGATGAAGACTTCCCTCACAGACGTCTATACGATCAATATTCACAGGAGATATTGGACGTCCGGTCGAGTGAACGTTGGCGCGCTTGGCTGCCGCTGCTCACCGGTTATTATTATCTACTATTACTATTTTTATTATAATTTTTCGAGCATTTCGAGCAGCCTTTGAATTGGGACAGCCTTCGTCGCGTCGCTGTGACGTAATCGCCCTTAAAATGCGGCCTTTAAGGCTGCAGACCCTGAACTGGGATACAGCCGCTGTCTCTGCCCCTCCCTCCCATTCATTCGAATACACTGCACTACAGCTCCCTGGATCTACCCCCACCATCATATGTGCTGTTTATCGGCCACCTGAGCCAAACAAGGAGTTTTTAAATGAATTTTCTGCTCTTCTCACTCATTTCTCTGTACTTTCTCCAAATCTCATCATTGCTGGTGACTTCAATATTCATATGGACAATAATAAAATCCCTCTTTCCAGAGATTTTACCTCCTGCCTGGAAAGTTTTGGGCTTCTACAGTACATAAAATTTCCTACCCACTCTAAATATCCTGGATTTGGTCTGTTGTTCTGGCATTACCCTCGCCCATTGTAAAGCCACATTGTTTCCCCAGTCTGATCATATGTTTATTTCCTTTGATGCAAACATAAGCGCTTCCAAAACCTGTGTCTCTCGTAATATCACTTTTAGGAAAATTAGTAATATCAACCCAGCTGTTTTTTCATCTGCTGTCCACGACTTTCCATCTATCCACTGCTCCTCAACCCCTCACGAACTCGTTTGCCATTATAATGTCAACCTTCATAACCTTCTTAACATATTTGCTCCCCTTAAACATCAAACTCTCATTTTCCCGTTCAGCTCCGTGGTTTTCCTCCGACCTGCGTCACCTTAAAGCTAAAGGACGCCAACTCGACGTCTATTCAAGAAAACCGGACTTACTGTACATAAAGAAATGCACAATGATCATGTTTTGTTCTATAAGGACGGCATTGCCTCAGCCAAATCTGCTTACTACTCTGGTTTAATTAGTTCTAATGAAGGTAACTCCAGGTCCCTCTATTCATTGTTCAGTAAAATTACAAAACCTCCAGACACATTCCCCTCCCACGTGTATTCTGATGATTTTTGCAATTCTCTTATCTCTTTTTTCACTTGTAAAATCTCAGACATTCACCGTCAACTTAACTCTTTAGGAGCTCCTGACTCTGAAGTAGACTTCCTGGTTCCCCCACTGTCTTCCTGTCAGTTATTTTCAAGCTTTACTCTTCCCTCCATAACTGATGTATCTAATCTCATTAAAAAATCTAAGTCATCGACCTGTCAACTTGACCCTCTCCCTACTGTGTTAGTTAAAGCCTGTCTTCCCTCGTTAGCTCCTCTCATAACCAATATTATTCATTCCTCCCTGAACACTGGGCTTGTTCCTGAAGCACTGAAAAAGGCTTCTGTTATTCCAACTCTCAAAAAGCCTGGTGCAGACCCCCATAACTTTGATAATCTTCGCCCTATATCAAATCTCCCCTTTATTTCAAAAATTCTTGAAAAAGTTGTCGCCGCCCAGCTTCATTTACATCTCAATGACCATAATCTCTATGAACCATTTCAATCTGGTTTCCGCCCCAATCATAGCACAGAAACTGCTCTGTTAAGGATTACCAATGACCTTCTGATGGCAGCTGATTCTGGTCTCCTATCCATCCTCATCCTTCTTGATCTTAGTGCGGCGTTTGATACCATGGATAGCTTCCATTGGTATTAGTCACACCCCCCTTGCCTGGTTCACCTCCTATCTCTCAGACCGCACTCAGTTTATCCAACTTAAATCCCATTCTTCAGCTCTCTATCCTGTTTCTGCTGGTGTGCCCCAGGGTTCAGTATTGGGGCCTCTTTTATTCATTACTTACATGCTCCCTCTTGGTCATATGTTCCAAAAATACAATATAAATTTTCACTGTTATGCCGATGACACCCAGCTCTACCTTTCTTCTAATCCCAATTCATCCCTCCCACCTTCCTCCCTCTCAGACTGTCTTATTGAGATTAGATCCTGGTTCTCCTCCAATTTCCTCAAACTCAACAGTAATGAAACTGAAGTTTTACTTGTTGGTACAGCCTCTATCTTAACCAAATCCCACAGCTTTTCCATTAACGTTGAAAATTCTCCCACCCTTCCCTCCCCTCAGGTTAAGAGTTTGGGTGTCATACTTGATAATACTCTTTCATTCCAGTCTCACGTTAATTACATAACCCGGTCTGCTTACTTCCATTTACGTAATATTAACCGACTCCGTCCCTTCCTTCCTCCCCATGCTCTTTCCCTCTCTAATTTGTAGCATCTCTCTCACCTTCCGGCTCCTCGTCGGCCTGGTCCATCTCCAGTTTGGTGAGCAAACTGACAAACCACTCGAAGGACTTCTGGTCTCTGTTGATCCAGATGAAGTCAACCTGCAGGGTGAAGAACATCCTGGTGTCCACGTGTGCTTCATTGCAGTACAGTGAGCTGTTGTTGGGATGCACTTTTCTTACTTTGCGCAGCTTCATCTCGCTGTCTTTGATGTTCTCGCACCACGAGTATTTACAGCTGGGACAGTTCTGCTTCCTCATGCGGTACCTGAGCCGCAGAAACACCTGGAGTCAGTTTTATATTCATTTCATGATTTTACTCACTGTAAAAAACAAACGGTGGAGAGGGTGACTGAACACGAGAGACGTAATTATAACTCGTCTAACCTTCTGAGTCCTAAAAGAAAAAAAATGAACAACTTTTGTGTTTTATTTATTGTTGAAAATGATCCAGTATCACATAACTCTATTTTCTGGCAAAGCTGAAAGAGGACATCACTGGAGCTTATTCTCATTGATTAT